GATAATTATTATTATATTTTAAGGAATTCTAACAATTTGCCATTAAACCATTATAGGGGTCATATGATGCTGCTAAAAAGAACAGTATTTTGTGTATTTGGCCAAGAGCTTGTAACACTCCAAAGAGAAAGGAAAAATTGAAATCGCATCATATGACCCCTTTAAATTAAACTAAAGGTGATTTTCGAGGTGTCAAGATGTGCCTTGTCCAGTGTAAATTGTAATTAGCAAAAAAGTTAGTTTAACATAAAAATCTATAAAGTGTTATGTAATGTCACCTGAAAATATTTTTTAAACTGGTCCTAAGGTGATTTTTGGTCATTTATTAAGTTCATACAGCTGTCCTAGTAGAGTAACTAAAAGTGTTCTTTATTACATTAACTATGAACTTGTACAAATAGGCTACTTTTGTTAAATTTTACTGGCACAGAGGCTACATAGCCTATTTTTATTAGGCCTATAGGCTATGTATTAGTGAGAGGGGATAGTTTTATTAATTCACCATCTTTTTATGCAATGTTTTGTTTGAAAAGTATGTGCTATCTTTCTCTTAAAAGTATAATCTTTTAGTCAAAACGAAATGAGTAACGTTAACGGATGTTGCTATCACGCGCATATCTAAATAGACCTACTTCAGTGTCATAATCTGAGCAGAAAACAAGACGGTTGGCAGTTTTGCTAATCTGTGACATATTGTTGTGAGTGTTCCAGTCTCCGTTTAGACAATTAGGGGTTAGAAGACGGGACAGAGGAATCAGAAGGAAAGCTGGCAATGTGATGAAGGCACAAACAGACCGAAGGAGATCTGTTTAATGACCCTAACAAGAGTTACACGAAGAACCGCCTTAGGAGAACAACATCAAAGATCCTTCATCTTATTATTATTTTTTTTACCTCCTTTAAACATTTCTCAGGTGTTTTTCCAATTTATTCCACCCATCCTTATTAATTCGCTGTCAAATCTGTGTTCTTTTTTCTATTTCTATCGCTGAGTACCTATCTTTTTATTGAGAAGGATGTTCTCTGGACATGTTTTAGGGAGAAACAGCGCCCTCTACAGAGCAGAGAAGAACTGCAAACACACTATCCAAGCCGGTTTTACAGGTACAAAATAATACCTTCTTTACGTATGAAAGGCAGACATACGTGTTAGTCAATAACCTTAAAAATATTAAAACATACCTAACTAAACACAGTTTTAAAATATTTGCTTATAGCGTACCTAAAGAGAAAGATGGAGAAAGCGTGACCTACCTTACGGATGTCAAGTTGACTTCTGCAGTTCATGGTAATTTTGAGATTTTTGCAACGTCCCTCAGGTGACAATACAAATAATTTCCCCCACTTTTTTACACGCAAGCACTCACACACTGTTAAGCATACACAACTAATGTAAAGCATCAAGAACATTTGCTGAGGATCCATTACTTCCCATTTTTTTTGTTTTTTCTTGCCCATCTGAAGGTTCTTGCCAAGTATTGTCTCAAACGTCAACGAGAGGCTGACTTAGTTAATTTTACAGCTAGATGCTACAACCCTGTTTTAAATCCCCAAAGACAAACACATATAAGATCCCGCAAACATTCACTCGGTGGCTCTGAAAGACATACAGTTACACTTACAGTTTGGAGAACAGCAAGTCTTTCCAATCTGTCTGAGCTAGTAGGGTAATCCGCAATGTCCAATGAACTGAAAGGCAGGAGGGAAACAGAGGGATTGGGTGAAGGTACCTCAACTTGGCGAAACAGATTTTAAATGAGGGAAATAAGAAGCTTAGATTGTGTCTGTGACAAATGCACTCCCCTTTAACTTTCTTGCTAACCAGTGGCGGATCGGGATGTGAAAGAATTAAGGGCACAAACATTCAGTCAAGAGTCCCATTTCAGCACTCAACTAGAGAGTTCTTGGAATCAATCTCTGTTGGGACTTGAAGGCATAATTGTTTCATGGAACGGCCAACAAAAAGGTACCGTTCCTCTGAGGTCTTTAAAAGCCCTTCCAAACGTTTTAATCTATTGTGGGGCCTTGGTATTTCCTACGACCACAGTCTTTGCAAAGTTCAAAAAGGTACTGTCTCTACATGGTAGTGGAAAGATTGTGTTAAATCCATGCAAAATAGTCTGAAAATATCATTTTATGTTGTTGGAAGGTGCTCGGTTTAAGTCTTAAAGGGACAGTTTGCCATATGGAAGCATTCACTGAAAAATCTTGGTCACAAGGAGGACTGAAACTGATTTGGCAGAACAAAAATAATACATTTAAGAAGTAAATTAATTCAGATTTTATTAAATCAGATTTCCAGTTCAGTGAGTCGTCTGCTGTGTGAAGAGCCAAATCTGGTAAGCAGCCAAAATGTGCATGTCTTTAGTTTCCTCAACAGACCTTTTCAGTCTTATGTAGTAACTATTTTTTTAAATGTCTATAATTAAGGGGCTTTGAAGAAAACATTGTGAACACAACATGGGTATATGTCTTGTTCTGTCTCAAGAAAAACTAAAAC